TCTCACTCTGTTAATGACAGTATTAACTCAAGGGAGCATTTAATTAATAAATTACTGACAATCACAAGAATTCATTAATTAATGCAAAACCACGAATATCATCAAATATAATATGAATGTGATCAAGTACATTTGTCCCACATTGATTGTCTCTAGGACACATATACTAACAAAATCTCTGTTAGAATATGAATAGAATTCATTTGTATCCAAACACGGCAATACAAATACAAACTTCAATAATAAAACCCAAAGGAGCGCCAAAAATTGTAAAATAGAACCTTAAAACAGCACAAACAAATTGATGGTATTTAGAAAAGAAGTAAAGGTGAAAGCATCACCAATTTATTAAACATGATATTGAGTCTACAGTTTTCATATTTTATTAGATGCATTTAGCCAAAGTTGAAACAAACCAAAGCTAAACAAATCATCGATGTTAGCCACATAAAGCCATAGTCATGTAGTCGAGGGATATTGCGATTAAGAAATACAGCAAAATAAGCTCAATGTTTAGCCTCCGGGGACGGAGGCCATACAATTATTATGGTTTATAATAAGAGAATGTCGAGCGGGATATGGTAACTCTACAGAGTGGACCTCACGTGTACAAACTTTGTACAAAATGCAATCGCAACTTGTATTGGGAGGAGCAAGGACGAGAACATCTGGGTAATTCAGCCAACCAACCGGAATGAGCCAAACCCCTTGGCCTATCTTGTCTTCACAATCTCCAAAAAATACATCGAGCTTCCATTTTTCAGCTTCCAAATCAATGTTAAATACCTTGAGCCACTCCCCAGTTTCTGGTTTCATCTGCCAAACTTGCCACGAGAAATTCCCAAGGGCGACCAATAAAGATAGATACCTTCCTGTTGACAGATAAAAGCGTCGCTTGTTTCTGTGAACTCGAGGAAGGGGGACCTCTGAGTTGGAAATAATTTCAGTCTCCACATCGAGAGAGAAAACAGAGGTGCACGAATCCCAGACCCAATGCACAAAACCATCAGTGATCAACGGCTTAAAGGCGCATGAAAGTTGGTTCCTATTAAGAGACAAGTGCTTAGTGTGGACATGCCTCCAGGTGGTATCGACACCAACAGTTAATATAAGACATTCAAGATTCCTTAGACCATTGCTTCCATCCACGAAATCGCGTACAACCACTTTATACTTCATGGAGGCCGACGCATACGCCATAGCAGGAAGAAGAGATGCATAACGTATCTTGGAAAATGGAGGCAGGGTGAAGCATTGCTTGGTTGCGGGATTCAGGATGCGCACAGAATAAGGATCTCCGTTTAAGAATCCCAAAAGCAGGCCATTACAGCTGGCCCAGATTAAATGACCAAGTTCGTAGCGGCACATGGATTTCTCGACCCGGCCCTGCCGCATCGAGATAAAAATCAATTCTTTGCGTAAAAACGTACAGTGTAAGAGGAGCCCGGAAGTTGCACGGCAAATTTGCGTTTGTATCAAGTCAGGGCTATGGTTCAAATGGTACCACTTGCGGCAAACGAGCCCTACCGGGACCCGGATATCTTGAGGTGGGAGACGAGCAATGATGTCCAATAATAAATCTTTGGGAAGGGACTCTATAGTTGCTAACTGTTGAAGTGTAACAAGTTCAGCTCAAGCAGTTATAACTGTTAAAAGTCGAGCTCACAAAGAAGAAGTCGTGCACACGCTTTCTTTTATTTTTTCCTTTGCAGTTTAATTGTAATTTCGAACGACGTCGTTTGGTCCTCATATTGTTTGCAATTTCTGAGTTTGTTAAACGTGACGTCACCCTGTTTTACGACGTCGTTTTCTTCCTATTGCATGAACACTATAAATGTACTGTGTACGTACAGTTTGAGCTAAGAGAAAAATTCCCCAAAATATCTCTTCTTTTCTCTCAGAAAATATTTACCAAATTGTTTGGATTTTACATGGTATCCAGAGCATCTAGATCCTGAGACCTCCAAGCGATTCACAGAAAGCTTCAATGGCGGCGTCTGGATCGAGGTCGCGAACTGCACCACCGGATCATGGACCACTGTTTCTACACGGATCCGATAACCCTGGTATGATGTTAGTCTCAAATCAGTTAACTGGAAGCAATTTTCTGTCGTGGAGAAGATCGATGTTAATCGCACTAGGAGCGAAAACAAAATTAGGTTTTATTAATGGTGGAATTGTTCAACCGAATCCTGATGATGA